GCGATCATTCGGGGAGGTTTTCCCTGCTGATGTAACTTTGGAAGCCTGCACTCTCAGGTTCTTTAAGCCCCACAATCGGCAATAGTCAATTTTCAATTCATTCAATTTCCTTTTTCTGGTACACACCTGCAATTCTACTTCAAATCTTATTTTCTTTCTATTTGAGCCCTTTTACTAATCTCATTCGTGTCCGGCGGTCGTTCAGAGCCTTACAATTTATAACACATGTTGCTTTTTCCTTAACAGTTTCTCTCGTTATTTACTATTCACTTTTCATCGATATATCCCAGAGTGGGTTATGCTAAAATCGACTTTATTTTTATGCGGATGAGTAGGCGAAACTCCTTGCGTACTTCCGATCCTAGTAAAAATGAATACAGGAAACCTTTCCCAAATCTCTAGTCAGTAAGGCTAAAGAAATTTATTCTAAAAAAGTAAAAGTCAAGGAATTTTCTGAACAAATATTGGTTTACTCACTGAAGTACAACAAATCCTCATGCTGGTTGACGTCACACCTCCCGTTTGTGGACTTGGCCTCCGCGGTTGACTTTTCGGCCCAGACTTCTGTAGTCGTTTCGCTCAAACTGGGGATCATTGGGGCAACTTCCCTTTCAGATGCATAGGCTAGTCCTGCAATTCCATCTGCCATGTCCTTATCGGATGGAAGTAGAATGCTTGTGCGCGTGGCAAAACTGCGCGAGTCGGTGGAGAAGCTCAGGAATAGCTTCGAAGTTTGCTCCAACCCATCCTTTCTGTAAGATTGGAATGCACTGAATTCGTCAGCTTCACATTTGTCTTTTCCTAGATCCGTTTTGGTACTGTTGACTCCAGCAGAAGTCTGCGTTTTTTTACATCTTCGCGACTTATTTTTGCTTTCTCTTTTTGTTCTCAATTCCTTATCATCTCCCTCCTCTTCAAAATCCTCCTCCCCTTCATATTCATTGTCATAGACCTTTTTGAGTTCTGGCGTCAACGGGCCCGACCGACTGCGACACCAGTTGAAAGTGAACATTCTCCTTAGGCTGCCTGTCGTCTGGCCGTTGTCCATGAGAGACAGCTCCTTTACCGGGGAAGAGGGCCCTTTATTAAGGCACTTTAAAGCTGGCAAGTGGGAGCGCAGTTCCTTTCGGAAATTTTCATTCAACCAGGCATACAAGAAAGGGTTGTAGACCGCGGAG